AGTAGAATTAACAATATCAGAACACAAAGGGGAAGTCGTGGCCTAATGATTAGAGAGTTGGACTCGTAACCCAAAGGTTGCGGGTTCGAGTCTCGTACCGGCAGGGATTGTAGGTGGGGGGAGTGAATGTACAGCGCTCTCTCCCACCTTCAATACCATGACTGAGGTGCCCTTGAGCAAGGCACCGAACCCCCAACTGCTCCCCGGGCGCCTAAATGCAGAGCACTAATTCCGAGTATGGGTCACCATACTTGGCCACATGTCACGTCACGTCACCAAAGACAGAAATTTGCCATCTGATAACATTATTTATTTGAACACACTCTCTGTTGATTTAGCACCTGACTCACTAAAGAAATTATGCTAATCAGGTAACAGTGAAAACAGGGTAAAAAAGTTTTTTTTACCACCTCAGAGTAAAAAAAAAAGTAATTATCACCTCTATATTCACAATTGTAACTTTATCTCTCCCAACTGCAACTTATTTTTCACTATACCTCACAGTGTTACTTCATATCTCACTTTATTTGAAACTTCATCTTACAAAATGTTTTACTCAGAAGCAGGTAAGTAACTTAAAAATAACAGTGCAAAACATGCCAAGATATTTGCATGGTGCAGTTGTGTATTTAACCTTCATTTTTATTCCGAGAGAGCAAAAATGAAGGTGGAGAGAGAGAGAGAGAGAGCGATAATCCACTCCAATACAGCTAGTGCAAGATCAATACTGCACAGTTTAATTCTTAAATTAAATTCTTAATTATTAAAAAATAATAATCACTGAGTATTGCATTTATACAATGCCATTGTCTATTGAAATCTGCTTGTCTAAAGTTCAAGATGGCTGCCATAATGGTGAGCACAACATACAAAACTGAGTGCACATTCAGTAGCCTAAAGATTCCACCATCTCAAGATCAAAGGTGAGTTGAAGTGCTCTTGAATCCATTCATTACTCTTAGAAAAATTACATCATGCTGGAATGTTCCTGTCTAGAATGCTATGTGGCTAAAGCTAAGCAGACAGAGATAAAGCCACACTATCAAGTGCAGGGAATGTAAAGTGAACAGTAGCGGGAGATAAGGGTGTTATTTTGTTCCTGTGTATTTCATCACATATGCAGATGCAACAAAGTGTGGCTGTGTGTGTATGTGTGAATAGAAGGTGCATGCAAGCCACGTTCCGTGGTATTTTTGGTGCTCACATGTGAGATAATTAGAGGCTAGTGCACGACGTCATGCTGTAAGTGGTGGGCTGTGACATGTGATGTGCTGTGTGTGTATGTGTCTACTCATGCATGTGTTTTCAGGGTGTATACTGAGCCACAATGTAAATGAGGTAAACTAGCTTGATTTTAACCCAGCTACTAATAAAGGGGCACAAATGTTACTTTAGATTCAGTTTAGCTTATTTAAATTTGTCATTTAGCAGATGCATTTAATACAAAAATAAATCCTAGCTGAAAAGATCACCAGCATGTTGTGTTTTGGAAGCTAGTATACTAGTGTCCCTCTCCAAACCTCTGAACTATAGCCTAACCAGCAAAACATGGTCATTTGGATGTTTTTTCAAGTTAAATTTCAAGTCTTGCTGGCAATCAACAGCTACAGTAAACTAGCATTTACCAGCTAGGACTAGGAATATATATATACATATACATATATATACATACATATACATATACGTATACATATATATACATACATATACATATACATATACATATACGTATACATATACATACATATACATATACATACATTATATATATATACACATACATACATTATATATATATATATATATACCTTTGCATTATATTTACATTTAATTATTAAGCAGATGCTTTTATCCAAAGCAACTTTCAAATGAGGGAAAACGCAAGCAAAGACAAGCAATTAATAAGCAGTCTTCTCACTGACAGGCCACTTATCTAGAATTAAAACCTAAAACATTTGCATTACCAACCTAGACCCTTTAATCAATCGGTTACTATCTAGGTTACCAATAAGTGTTGCATTTATTAACATGAACTAGCAAAGAAAAATTCCTCTTGTTAATGTTAATTTCAGTATTTACTCATGCATTATTAAGATCAAAAGTTGTATCTGTTAATTAATATTATTTATTTAATTAAATAATATTTAATTTAATGTACCTGAGCTAAAATGAACTAACAAACGTACAGTTGAATTGTAATTCATTATTGTTAGCAAAGATTAATAGATACTGTACCAAATGTATTGCTCATTTAATGCATCAACTAGTGTAACTATTGTTTACTGGGACCTTAAAGTGTTACCCCACCTGTTTAAGTGTTTTTAAATAATATTTATATACACATACACCCTTGCAGTCCAATCCCGCTGGGGTCCCATGTGTTGATGACTGGACCCTCGAAAACATCCCCTCAATGTCATGGTGAATTTTCCAGTTCAGATAACCAAGAGACATTCCTAGCTGCTAAGACTAAACACATACTCAAACACAGACACACAACAATCATATTCTATTGCAAAGGTCAGCTATGAGTGAAGAGATTATATTTGGACATCTTTGATCTGCAGTAGTACGAGGTGTTACTGATGTGGGGTATTTGAGACTGAGTCTCCATGCCAGCATAGCAGTACAGTGGGGCATTTGTGACAGAGCTGAAATATCACTGTAAATGCCCTCTCTTCTTATTTCTCCTTATTGCATTTATGAAATTATTATTATAAGGAGGCAATGTTTTCATATTTAAAATATTTTAGAAAACAATTCTTGTAAAAATAGACAAGTCCCGTGCTGTTTGCTGTAAAATGCATGGTTAAGATACTTTAATAACATGAAACCCTGACAAAGCTATGTCTACTGTCTTTCTGAATCCCACCAGACCATAGCTAAATGTCTTCTGTGGAAAAACATTTTAAAATTTCATGAGAGCGTGGCATCTCACCATAAAGCCCCTAGACTCGCCATGTACCAGTGACTGCCAAAACAGTGCAGTTGTAATTTATATTATATTACATTACATTATATTATATTCCCTAACTATGGCTGACTAAGAGGGAGAATGACAGCAACTTGTTATACATTAGTGTGAGGATCAGAGTGTGAACACTGTTTAGTGTTATGTGATAAATTTTGCAATGTGATAACATTTTAATAAAATCCAAAGCAATAAATATGTAATTTAATATGATTTAGCATGTGTAAGAACAAGATAAATTCATTACTTTGCATGGCAAATAGATAATGAGCAATCTTGCAAATAATTAGGAAAAAAAGGATAATGAGATGCATTGTAATATTAGCTTTCAGACTCCTCTATGTGGCTGTGACATTATAATTATACACTGGCAATGATGAAACCATTCAGTTAGTTCTAAATCCTGTATACACGATAAGATAAGCTATCAGAATTCCAGTTAACAGCTGCTCTGAATGAACGAATGAATGTATTCCTGTTGCTATCAGTGCTCATAATGCAGGGCTCTACAGGGTGAATATATAGTCTACTAGTGTCATAAATGAGTAAGTAAATACTTTGTGAAGTTTGGTTTGTCTGGCTTTGCATTTCTGAGGTCTGTCTGGTTTAGTAGATGTGTATTTGTGAGGGATGCTGTATGACTTGGTCTTTTAATATGTAGGTCAAATTGTAGGGAAACCCACCATGTTGCCACTAAATAATATATTATTGTGTGTGCGCGCGTGTGAGATTTATTTAATGTGTGCACTATTTGCACTGCAAAAGATATTTTGTAACATAACCTAAAAAATGTGCTACACACAGTAACCACTAAATGAACTGAGTTTGCTTTATGGTAATAATGGCACAGTGTCACTTTTTATAGGGTGGGTCATATTATCATATTAGTGATGAATCATATTAGTGATGGTTTTTTTTTCTATTTAAGCAAATTATGTCCAATTTATAAGACATAGAAATTATAGGTAGTGGGACACTTTGTTTTAATTTATCATCGGCATTGTTTTAAAATATAGTGCAAATGGTTTAGCCCCCCACACAATACTATTTAAATATTAAGAAATATTAAATACATAAACTTGAAATTCCTCAAAACACACAGACCCCAAATCACAGTTTGACAAACTGGGACACATTTATAAAGTAGGACAACTAGAATACAGCAATGTTTTATTTTCTATGCAATCAATAAAATGCATAATAATAATAATATTCGTATAAGATTTACAAATTTAGATTCCATTAATTTTTTTCTGACTGCTGTTCTGGCCTATTCTTCCCTTTAGTGTCTTTCTTAATAATAATAATAATAATAATAAAAATAATAATTACTAACAAGATATCATAAGAATGCATTTAAATAACACATGGTCTTAACCCTCTATAAACTATAGAGCTAGAGATAATATTTCTGATGGCCAATTAAAAAATGACATAAATGCCGTCCCAATTTACAAAACACATACCAGTTTACCAATACACTTTCAAAGTTGCATGAAAGAAGAAGTAAATATTAATTTGCAAATTATTTTTGTAAAATCTGATTTATGGCTATAAAAGGCTTTTTGTCACTGTATATCATGATATGACATGTTGTCAGAAATGATGTCAGAACTAAAGAAGCCCTTTTGTGTCATAGTTCAGTGATTTAAATGCTGATGTTTAGTAATGGAAGAATATACATTATTAAAGATGAATAAGCTTAGCTTAGGTGTCACACTTTGCCTGTATTCACTTCGTGGAATCTGGTTCTTTAGATTTTTGTTTTTCAAACTTCACATTCCTATAGAAGAGTAGTATGCCTATACTGATGGCAAGTCAAACGTTAGCAGTAATATTCTGAGGTACTTTTCATCAAACTTAGTGATTTTTACATCAGCTCAGTGCGCTCTTTTTGCCCTTGAGTGGCAGCGGTGACCTCGGCATATCACATCCCAGTCCGCGCTCTCCTGAGCCCGCGTGCTGATTGAAGTGTTCTGGTTGCCATGACTACTGAGAATCTGTGCGGGACCAATGCGCGGCGCTGCTCTCCATCTCACAGGCTGTGCTATAAAATACTCCTCTTCCCTGAGCAACAAGCAACGACTGGATGATGTGTGGATGAAATCTCTATGAAGGACTAACCTCACGTGCTCATACGCGCAAGCGTCGCGTCGGTTTGAGTATGCACAACGAATGTGATCTTGCGTTCCCGTCTCCTCCTTCTCCTCCTCGAGCCGACACTGAGAGGCGTTTCGTCATGAGTAAAGAGACAGTTTTACCGCAATGCTATTTCAATAGCTCTCTAGCTCTGCACGAGAGCCACTGACCCAAGAGGAAAGGGTGGTGCCGCGCACTGGCATAGTCCATTTATCTGGAGTCGGCTCAGCAGACAAGAACCGAGCGGAGCAGGTGTGCGCTTTCAGTCTGGATTCAGAGCTCCTCTCTCTCGTCTCTGACTTTGATGGACTTACATGCGGCACGTTAACTGCGGTGGATGACTCCATATGCGCGTTTATTGCTCAAGGTAAGAAACGCTTGTTTGACAGGATCACACTAGCGCAGACGGAATGAGTTTGCGATTACAGAGGCAGATTTTAGAGACCAAGAAACAACATTAAACATTTTTCAAACAACTAGTGATTGATAGAGATGATATTGTAGATGCAGTTTTCAGAGGCACTGTGAATTCCAGATATAAAAATTCAGCTGCAGATTTTAGAGGCAAAGGATTCCAGAGGCAGATTTCAGAGGCACAACATTTTAGTCAGATTTCAAAGGCATATATTAGTGTTATAGAGTAAAGACACATTTTAGATACATAATTAAGTGACACATTACAGCACATTTCAGAACAGATTTCAAAACATTATAGAACACTATAGCTATCATATGTTGTAACACTTTCTCATCACCTATTATTTTTATTCTCTGCTGCTTCTCAGTTTGCAATACCTGGCGTTGGTTACTTACAGGTAAAGTAGCATTGCTGCACATTTGGATGGTGCTGTAGGCTTCCATGTTCCTTTTAAGATGTTTTGCTCAATGATTCTGATGTGTTGTAATAGTTGACCCAACAAGTGTAGACAGAAGTAATAGAATTGTTTCAGTTTTGTCCTAATTCCGATGCGTTTGGCGTGTGGATTGAGTTTGTGCAGAGAGTGAAACTGATTACCTGTAACTCAATCTAGCGTGACCTTCCACAACAACAAAGAGTGCTTGTGTCCCAAAATCCTGTGCCAAGATCCTTTGGCTTAATTGATTAACATAACAATTAAGAGGCTTGTCATTACCAGCTCATTAGTGAGGTCCAGCGGGCGATGGAGGTAATGACCGATCTGTGTTCTTATCACGGATGATGGTAAAGTGTGTGCATGGCTTTGCATTTATTATCCGGTGATGGGATTATGTTATTTACAGTAAAAATAACGGCAGTTGTGGTTACCGGAATTTTACCGTAAAAAATACGGTAGCAACGTTTTAGGTTTTACGGTTTTAACTTAAATTTACAGTTATATACCGTAATTTCATTAACTGATATAATGTTAATATACCAACCTATTGAAGTTCTGAAATCTGTTTTGTACCTTTGTAATACACTGATAACCACCAAATCCAGGTGGTGATGAGAAAGTCACATGATGAAACAAAGCCCATCACAAGCAGCTTTTAAATAATAAAATATATAGAAGGTGCACAGTGTCATTCACACAAACACCAAACACCATCATGGTAACAAGTGTATAGTATACAAATTATATGTATATTTTTAATGCATACGCTCTAATACATACTGTACAACAACATTTACAATATAATTGTATAATAATGATAATATATATTACAGTATAATATATAAATCAATATAAATAATGTATTTATATATATATATTATATATAAGTTCTTAAAATATATCTTAATAAATAATAATGTATTAATAATAATTAAACAACAACAATACTACTAATAAATAATCATATTTTTAAAATATTTAATACTTAATATAAATAATAGTAATAATTAATATTATGGAATTATATGTATTTCTATATATATATTATATATAATTTTAAAATATATCTTAATAAATTATAATTTACTACAAATTATATGTATATTTTTAATGCATACGCTCTAATACATACTGTACAACAACATTTACAATATAATTGTATAATAATGATAATATATATTACAGTATAATATATAAATCAATATAAATAATGTATTTATATATATATATTATATATAAGTTCTTAAAATATATCTTAATAAATAATAATGTATTAATAATAATTAAACAACAACAATACTACTAATAAATAATCATATTTTTAAAATATTTAATACTTAATATAAATAATAGTAATTAAT